CCTGACCAAAGTCACATAGAGGGGGAGTATCACTTCTCTGGACCGGCTTGAGATGCACCTTTGGATGCATGACAAGGTATGGCTGGCCTTGCTGGCTGCGGTCAGGCATTGGCGGCTCATGTTCATCTTAGAGTCAATAATGACTCCAAGATCCCTTTCTGCCTCTGTGCTTTCAAGAGGGGAACTCCCCAGCCTGTATGTATGCTGTGGATTCCTTCTCCCAAGGTGCAGCACCCTGCATTTGTCTACGTTGAACCCCATCCTATTCTCATCTGCCCACTTTTGTAGTCTGTCTAAATCTAGTTGCAGCCTCTCTCTCCCTTTAAGATGTGGGGTGAGGGGGACACACTTGGTGTCATCAGCAAACTTGGACAGCGTGCTTTCCACCCCCTCGTCCAAGTCGCTGATGAAGACGTTAAACAGTGCAGGCCCAAGGACCGAGCCCTGGGGTACCCCACTGCTCACATCTCGCCAGTTTGAGTATGACCCGTCCACCACTACTCTCTGGGTGCGCCCCATCAGCCAATTTTTTTACCCATCCAACTGTGTAGGCACCAATGCCACAGTCGCTTAATTTATTGATGAGGATGGGGTGAGAGATGGTGTCAAAGGCCTTCTTAAAGTCCAGAAAGACTACGTCCACGGCGACACCATCATCCAAGGATTTAGTTACTTGGTCATAAAAGGCAATCAGGTTGGTCAGGCAGGCCCTGCCTTTGATGAACCCATGCTAGTTGCCCCTGAGCATGATCTCCCCCGCAGGCCCCCCACAGATGTGATTCTTGATGATTCTCTCCAAGATCTTCCCATGCACCAAGGTGAGGCTTACAGGCCTATAGTTACTTGGGTCCTCCTTCCTCCTCCTCCTTGTCCTCCATGCTCCAAGCTATAGCATCCAGCCCTGTTTCCTTTCTTCTCTACATTTAAACGCTCCCAAAAGGCATTTCTACAGGCTGCAATGCAGTTTTGTTCTCCTCAGCTCCAGGGGAGACACCTTTTCAGCAGGTGCTTGGGGAAACTAGCACCATCTTCTCTTGTTAATACAAATCTCACCTCTATGATTAATCTGTGCTACGGTACCACCCTAAGGACTGACCAACATAGGAGGTGAGGTTCAGCACCTTTCTTTGATCTATGTGCTGTATAAGCATACTACCAGGGCTAGACCCCACCTTGAAGAGTTTATAGGCTAAATACATGAGTCCTAAAAGGGCAAGAGGGGAAAACACAGTTGCACGTGGCTTGCCCAAGGTTACAAGGTAGAACTGGGTGAACAAAGATATTTCTTGGTTCGCAGGCAGATTTTGTTTCTAAAAAAACCCTCAGAGCATTTCATTTGCCATCATTCTGAAAAGGCTTTTGAACTTTTTAAAACTAATATGAAAGGGTATTTTGAAATTCAATCATTTTGAACAGAAAGACTGAAGCACTCAGTTGTCTAGGTATAAAAAATAAATTCTTTTACTTTCAAAAGTCTCTGAGAAGGGCTTTTCTGAAACACAAAGTTCAGAAAAAGACACAATTTTTGTCCCCCTCCCACGCAGGGTGTGTATGCACATGCGTGTGCGTGTTTGCATGAGAGAGAGAGAATATTCATCCAGGTCCATCCCAGCACAGGACAAAAGCAGAGGCTGAAAGAGAACCCAAGAGATGGTTTCCAGCCCAGAGCTCCTACCACTGGGTCAAACAGCTCCTAGCTGTCCTCCATTTCTGAGGCAAGCCATGTACATATGCGTTCTACTTCATGATGTTGACGGTTCAAGGTCAACAAATCACATAGGCTATGGGCAAGAATGATTCGCACACATGCACACAACGCCATGCAAGCAAGCCAGCAAGCTGGAATGCAGCAAAATCAGAGGAGGGCCCTACTCACCTCTGGCCGAATGCAGGAGGGCGGCGAGCTCTGCAGGGATCTCCAGCAGTGACACATCCTGAGGGGAGGGAGAATTTTTTTTAAAAGCCAAAAGAAAAATAAGAGTCAAAATGGAGTGATCTTGAGAATGGAAGAAAAACAAGAGTGGGGGTTTGTGGCAGCTAGGAACAAGCAGTACTGGGGTGGGGGGGGCGGAGGGGATGAACACATTGTACTTCTCCAATATGCCTGAGGTCTCATTTTGCACAGAAAAGATCATAAGTTCCAGATACAGGGCATTTTTTTCTGCTGGTTTTTCTACTAGTTATTTTACAGCATCTAAAAATGTCACAATACCAGTAAAAAAAATGGGCCCACTTCTGATCTCTGTTGTGCCTGTGTCAGTGCCAGTCTGGAGTAACCACATGAAGTTAGGGGAGTGACTCTAGATTTACACCAAGGAAACTGAAATCAGAATCTAGCCCCAAGGGTCTTTCACTGCTTTGCACCATGCACAGACATACTTATGCAAAGTGAAGACCTCCACAAAGACAAGGAAGCAGCCAGGAAACAGTAAAATGCCCAGACTTGGATCCCAAACTAACAAAACATGTTACATGTTCATAAACGTACAGTGATAAGAACTCTTGCTTTCACTTCTAACAGCCATGCAAAAATGGGTGGATGACAAAGACCCAACTCAACCTAATTTGCCTGGCTTCACATTTCACTGGTAACTGGAGCCTGGCCTACACCAGTGTTTGTACCAGTGCAATTACAGCACTGAGGTGGGATGATTTTTACCAAAACGGACTGTACCAGTTACAACCCTGGTACTGGTACAAAGCGTGTACAGTTATAGTAGCATATAAGTATCTTATAGCATGTTCCCTTCCTGCATAGACCGTAGCAGGTTTCTAGTGCTCACAACACTTTAGGAGATTTACCCTCTGTTTCACTGCCACCCACAGACTTTTCAGACAACCCAAGTTCCATTTTGAGCCAGGCTGGGCTGAGCCTTGTAAGATCATGCCAAGCCCACTGTGCCAGTTCCAGCACAAGATCTATGAGTAACACACAGGCTTCAAAGAAATCTGTCGCACCCCAAACACAAAGGGGAGTAAGGGAGGTGGGAACACAGAAACTGCAACTGTGGGAGGAATTTGCATGGAGTGAAACCACTGCACTCTCCAGAGCTGTTGCTGTAGCTATTAGGGAAGAAAAATAAGTTCTAGGCTTGGGCCAGTCCTTGGAGTTGAGGACTCAAACTTCCTTTTGCAGGGAACTTAGCACCAGGTCATACAACCCTCTCTACCCTTTGCCTGATTTCCTGTAGCATTGGGTGAGCATTACTAAAATCCTGAGAGGTGCTGAGCACTCCAAGCTCTCTCCGACTTAAACCAAGCTGAGGGACTTGGGGATGATTTCAGGACAGTCAAATGTGCTAAACTTGTCTGAGGAGTTGTTCAGAGTGAGCGAGTTCCCCGTTCTGCACAGCCGGTAATCTACAATGGATGGAAGCCACTTATTCAAGCACTATCCCAATATCCAACAAATGTGGCAGGTCCTAGGCATTAACCCCTTCCTTTCTACAGGAGTATGGCAGCATCACCTATGACAGCCAGAGGGACACACTTGGAGACAACTCCCAGAAGTGGGAAGCCTCATTGTAGTAGGGACATTACACATCAGCCCAGATGTTAATTCTGGAGGCAGGCCTCAATGCTAAACAGACTGCACCCCTCTTCCAGCTGTTACTGCTGCTAATGACTTACCTTTCATCCCCAAGGATCCCAATCACTTAATGTGAAACATTTACCCTTATCCCTCCACACATGCATGCAGGAGTGACTGATACCTCCTACCAATCATTCTCCCTCTAGGGTGGAGCACTGGTACGCAACAGCATGCGACCGGCTAGGAGAAGGGAAGAAAGGACCCCATCATCACCACACCCTTCTGATGCAGCAGGGAGAATTACCAAACATACAGCGCCTGCACCACTGACTCCAGAGGAAGTCCCACGGGATACGTAGAAAGGCAAGCAGAGCCTTTGAGGGCATTTGGACATCCAATTCCCATTCACTTCCAACAGGAATCCCAGTCTCTTAGGTGTGTTCCCAGAGTTCAGGTCTAGATCCTCAGGTGCTCAAAGCTTCTCCTCAGTGACACAGGCTCTCCCAAAGAGTTGCAGCAGATCAGCTTCCTAAATGCTCCCTTGCTATAACCAGAGGCAGGGACAGGCCTGCAGGACTCAGTCAGTGAAATGAGTACTGGACCTTTCTCTCTCTTGACAGCATCTGATGAAGTGAGCTCGAGTTCACAAAAGCTTGCACCCTCTATAGATCTGTACTTAGTCTATAAGGTGCATCTCTACTCGCCTTCTGCCCAACTTCAGACTAACGTGGTTAACTACCTCTTCCTTATCTCTGTCGCACCACTTGTCGACCTGGCAGGCTGGTTTGTTTTGGTAAATAGTGCCAGGCCCTCCCTAGCAATACACGGGAGCTTGGGACTTACCATTCCTGAGCAGGTGTCACTCTCGCTCTCTTCCTCACGCCTCTGCTGCCAGGGGGAAAGAAAAAAGAAAAAAAAGTCAGCAAGACATTTCTTGGGGTGTGTCAGGCTCCTGGGGGTGGTAAATTGCCTGGCAGTATCCCACCCCTGTGTGCTCTGAGCCTCCTGTGCCTGCATCTGCTCCAGATTAGGATTGCTTTGCCCATTGCCCTGAGGGCACAGCTAGTTGTTTGCCTTTCTCTTTGCTGAACAGCTGCTGCCCTCAGAGGTGGAGGGAACCAGCCTTACAATGGCACAGGCTTTGCTACACTTGGAGGTGGTTCTGCTATAGCTATCATGTTAAAATGATGGGGTGAAAAGCAAAACCTTCTTGGGATCTATTCACGCTGGTGGGTTGGGCAGACATTGGCCCTCACCATGGGACAAAGTTGCCTTGCGTTCTCTGATCAGAGCCTGTGCTGACACCCTGCGTCCCTACAGCAGCCTCCAACCCCAGCCTGGCACTGGCCACTCCCCGCGACCCATCAAGCAAACAGCAATTAGAAACATTCACCTCCTCCTTATTTCCTTCACCTGAAGGCCTGAACCCAGCAGGAAGAGGTGCCCAAAGGGTTCTCTCCTAGGAGGGAGAGGGAACCAAGCTCTCATTTAGCTCTACCCAGTCCCAGCTACAGACTAGGATATTCCCCCACAACACTACTCACCTGCCTACTGCTCTGAGCGGGTGTATGGGGTCTCACTCCCGGGCTCTCCTGTTTGTCTGCATTGTAAGGATGCAGATGTCCAGATGGGAAGCTACAGAGCTGGGCTGGGCTGGGCTGAGGAGAGGGCAGGCATGCTAAAGTCCGCCCAGGGCAGGGCTACAGGGAAAGGGAGGAGGCGAGGAAGGTTGTGGTTGCAAGCAGGTGAACTTTGAGACCTTTTATTGTCATCCGTCCAAGAGCAGAGACTTCAGAAAGCAAACATGGATGGGAGGGAAGGAAGAAAAGCAATGCAGCAACTCACTGCGCTTCCTCTGGAGAGAGAAGAGCTGGAACCTGTCCAACTAGGAAGGGATTGAAGCAGAGATAACAACACATGCTCTGCCATGGGAGCATGGCATGGAAATAAGTGCCCTGAGTGTGGCGCATGCTATAGTGATCTATGGTGGGCATCCTGCAGCCACCCTGCTGATCAAAGGAGTGTACAGGGGTCTCTTCCTTCCCATCTTGTGAAGCCCACAAGCCAAAGGGGCTATGAGCAAATGTCCCACTTTCCCAACCCTACAAAACTGAGGTCCTGTCTATTCTCAGTTTTCCTCTGCTCTTTGACAGCTTGTTCGAAATGAATTTGACAGGTCTCTATCCTGTGGCAGGGTGCCCTCTAAACAAAACTGCTGCCATCACAGCTGGCATGAGGTAGCTCAGTTACTGGCAGAGAAGCCCAGGGTTTATGGCTCTACAAGGCCCTGGTAGGATCTGAACTGGGGACCTCCAGCACCTGGATCTCCTGCTATTAGACTTATTCAGCCATACAACTGCACAGGCTTTTCTCTCCATTTTAGGAGCACCCTTTAAAACACCCATGAAAAAACTCCCAGGAGGTTCAGGTGCTCTCAGCCTGAGTTCCAGGCTGTGCGATGCAGAGGCTACTACTCAGAGCCCCCTGTGCCTGCATCTGCTCTGGATTAATGGGCTTTCCCGTTGTCCTGAGGGCCCAGCCAGTTATTTGAAGGCTCTCTCTTTGCTGAACAGCTCCTGCTCTCAGAGGAGGAGGGTGCCAGGGGTCTCATGCACAGCTTCAGGCTGTCCACCTGGGCACACTAGGGAGCCAAACAAAGATCAGATCATGCCCCACCCCATCGCCAGCTTAGCTGAGGACTTAATCCCAGCCACCTTCACTGACTCAGAGAGCAAAAGGCCATTTGAACAAGCTAGGAAAACTACTGCTGTTTAAGTGCCCAAGAAACTATCTCCAGAGGCAGCCCCACCCATCAACCTTATAAGCCAGAGCTGAACATTGCACACCCTTTGCCACCCATCTCTATGAATAGTATCATTACCCGGCAGTGCTTCCTTCTTTGCACCAAAGGCCTGGAGATTAAAACTGCTCTCCTGAACTGCAACAGCGTCTTCTTCAGTCGCTTGTAGCGTTTCCTGGGATCAGTGGGGCAGCAGGATAGGGGAGGGAAACACAATACAGCAGAACAGAAAATAGAGAGAACCCAGGATCATGACCCACATTCAGGCATAAGCAAGGCACAAGCCCTGAAACATTGGCAAAGACTCAGCTGAGTTTGATTTAGTTCTCTCTGTGAGGTCTGGATTTCACTCAGAAGTTATAGCTGGGGGGTATTTTTTAACCAATATAGTTAATCAGGCCTTGTGGGGACACAGTTGGACCAGTGTACGTATGCGCATACCAAGTCCCTGGAACTGTTATAAACTATCCTGGTAGAAACATGTTTTGACCAACAGAACTGCAGTGATGTTGGGAGGGCTTTGCTAGTTTAATTATGTCAATATTTATTTGGAGTTAAATTTAAGTTCAAAGGAGCCCAAAGGAATTTGATGCAAAAAATCTAATGGGAGAAAATGAGATTCAGGCACTTGGAGCCTGATTTGTAGAGGTATGGGGAGCTATAGGCCTATATATATTTAAAAGCCAGACTTTTAACTCCCTGAGGTACCTATAAAAATCCCAACTTTTATTCATATTTATTTCCTAACCAGTAGGAGGCACTAGACCATGGGAGCAGTTTAATACACTATTGACCTGAGGATCTCTTGATAGGTGTCCAGTTAGTTATGACTCCAAACCAAGAATCCCATTAAGCCCAGAAATTCATGAGCATGTGCTAAGGGATTGCTGCATGCACCTTTTGGCTGTTCCTGTTTATTAGGAAGGGTGACCAAGCCATTGTCTGTGTAAGGGATTGCATACACCATAGGTTGGGGCCACATTTGAAACCACCTTCCACGTATGCTAATGACAAACATGGTTTGGACCTCTGCACAGTGCTCACAAAGCAGTTTAAGAAATTCTGCTTCTGACCAAAGAAGCAGTTAATCTACACCACAATCGCTGCTCTCAGGACTGTCTTGGTTTTACTGGACTATGAACCACCCCACAACCTGGCTAATGACCCCTGTGTGGGAGAAGGTTTGCCAAGGAAGACTCCCCTCTTAGCACAGGCAAGGACACAACACAGGCGGTCAGGACCAGAAGCCCATGTCCCATCCATGCTCTCCCACTCCCAAGTGAGGACATCAAGCTGTACTTTGGATATTGAATCTAAGGAGGCTTTCTCCAAAATCATGCTGGGACCCCAGTAAGACCTTATGCTTACAACCGGCCATAGAACAGGAGCATTTGCCTAGCCTTTGATCTCTGACCTTGCTAGGTGACCTCTGAAATGAGCCTGGATGACTGTGACCTTCTGCTGGAGGACCTGAAAACGCCTACGGCTGATGAGGCCTCGGAGCCTCCGCTGGAGGGTGACAATGGCCCAGCTCTGCTTCTGCTTCCACCGTCTCTCCAGTAGCTGTTTGGCCTTCTCCTTCAGGAAGACCTGGCCAGAGGAAACAACTGCTAAGGGTCAAGAAGAGCAGGCAGTACCTATAACAGGCAGCAATGTTTGTAGAACCTCAACTTTACCCTGAATTCCCTGGAGCCTTTGCTGCTCTTCATACCAGAGGCTACTCATAGGGAGCTAGCAGAGGTTATTGCAGGGCCCTTGGCATGGCTTTACGAGTGCTCGTGGTGCTCGGGCCAGGTGCCAGATGATTGGAAGATAGCCAATGTGGTCCCCATCTTTAAAAAAGGGAGGAGGGAGGACCCGGGCAACTATAGGCCCATCAGTCTTACCTCAATCCTGGGGAAACTCTTTGAGAAGATCATCAAGAAGCACATCCATGATGGGCCGGCATTGGGGATTATGCTCAAGGGCAACCAGCACGGTTTCATTAGGGGCAGGTCATGTTAGACCAACCTGATTGCCTTTTATGATCAGGTCACAAAAGCATTGGATGCCGGTGTCGCCGTGGATGTAGTCTTTCTGGACTTCAGCAAGGCCTTTGACACTGTCTCCCACCCCATCCTCATTAAAAAACTAGGCAACTGTGGCATCGATGCCTACACAGTCAGATGGATTGCAAATTGGCTGAAGGGTTGTACTCAGAGGGTGGTGGTGGACGGGTCATATTCGACCTGGGGGAAGTGGGCAGCGGAGTCCCCCAGAGCTCGGTCCTTGGGCCCGCGCTGTTCAATTTCTTTATCAGCAATTTGGACGACGGGGTGGAAAGCAACCTGTTCAAATTTGCTGATGATTCCAAAATTTGGTGTGAGGTGGGCAAACCGCAGCACACTTATAAGATGGGAAACTCCCTTCTTGAGAGCACAGAGGCAGAAAGGGATCTTGGAGTCATTATTGACTCCAAGATGGACATGGGCCGACAATGCGAGGTCACGGATGGCAGGGCTAACCGGACCTTATCGTGCATCCACAGGTGCATCTCAAGTAGGGCCAAGGAGGTGATCCTCCCCCTCTACGTGACACTGGTCATGCCACAGCTGGAGTACTGTGTCCAGTTCTGGGCACCCCACTTCAAGAGGGATGTGGACAACATGGAGAGGGTCCAGAGGAGGGCCACCTGCATGATCCGGGGACAGCAGGGCAGACCCTACAATGAGATGCTACGGGACCTGAACCTGTTCAGCCTTCACAAGAAAAGGCTGAGGGGGGACCTTGTGACTGTTTATAAACTCACTAGGGAGGACCAGAAGGGTTTGGGGGAGACCTTGTTTCCCCTAGCGCCCCCCGGGATAACAAGGAATAACGGCCACAAGCTGTAGGAGAGTAGGTTTAGATTAGACATCCGTAGGAACTACTTCACAGTCAGGGCGGCTAGGATCTGGAACCAACTTCCAAGGGAAGTGGTGCTGGCTCCTTCCCTGGGGGTCTTTAAGAAGTGGCTCGATGCCTACCTGGCTGGGGTCACTTGAGCCCAGTTTCCCTCCTGCCCAGGCAGGGGGTCAGACTTGAAGATCTACAAGGTCCCTTCCGACCCTACTTCTATGATTCTATGAAGTCTACTGATCTCCACTAATCCCTCAATCCAAGCTTTTCTCAATGATTAGACAGGATGGGAACATCAGGAAAGAATGGAGATGCATGAAAGGGCTGAGTCTGGGAAACCCAAGAAAAGAACGACAGTGAGGTGTCTAGCAAGGTAGATGGTGTCATGGGATACATAGGCTGGATAAGGGAACCGGTGCCTGAAACAGAACTGCAAGAAGGTAGCATTCACCATCTTTACATTTCACAGGCACTACAATTCTCCAGCTAAAAATAAAACAACAGAAATAATTGAGCTGGAAGTATGCAGTTATGCACAAAGGTGAGCAGCCTACTTTCCATCAGGACCAAGTAGGTGGATGGAAAGGCCTTTAGAATTAAGATACCGTTCTCTTTACACAGCACCTTCGTTATGCCGATCTGATAGAGCTCTGAGGCGTCCCCCACCACACGCGACAGCACTGCGATGCAGTCGTCCCTCTCCTGCAAATTGCTCTGTGTAGGTCCACCCAGAGTCCCATACCTGAAAGGCAAAAGGAAGACATAAAAGAACCGAGTGAAACCCTCCTGCAATTATGTGTTGGCACTGAGTCCCCTTCAACCACGTGGACATTCCCAGCCAGAAGGAAGAACAGACAAGGGGAATTACCTGACTAAGAAGGGCTGGAATGGGATGCGGATAGGGTATCCTTCCTTCCTGATATGGATGGCCTCCAGTATCCCAGAATGCCTCAGCTGACAAGTGACATATTCCACATCAAAGATGTTTGACAACTGCAGGGGAAGCCATGAAGTGTAAGAGGGCAGAAGGCAAGGGGAGGAAGACACGAAATAGGGAATAAACAGAAAGAGAGAAACAGAAACAGAAAAAGAGATGGACCTTTAGAAAGGGTCGGCATATCTCCCAAACCCCCATGCAGGACCATACAGATTTTGCCTCGTTGTTGGGCAGAGTAAACCCTGTGCCCTGCAGGATTCTGAAACACACTCTTTTGCAGCAAGTAATAGACAGCCAGCACCAGAACACAGACTGAGAGGGAGAGCAGTGTGTCACAGAAGAGCTGATCTTGAAAAACACATGCTCTAGAAAGGGGTTTTACAGGCAGGGAACAGAAAACTCCACAAGTGTGTTGCTTCTTACAAATGAAAGCCAAATTCAGAT